GGCACGGTGTATTGCCTGAAAGCTTTATCCTCGGAAGTAACCTCCAGCATGTCAAGGTGTCTATAGACACTCTGGGGGACCAAGGTTAGGGCAGATCCACGGACCTCACGCACTGCCAAGGGAGAGTCCGAAAAAGCCTGAGTCTCCCCAGCAAGCCTGTTGCAACGGAAAAAGACTCCTTCTAGACTGAGAATAATCTCGCAGACTTGCTCAGAGGGCGGGGTTCCAGTAAATGGCAAGGCCACAGTGGCCCATCAAAGGAAATAAGCTGTGTCTTCCTGGAATATGAAGAGCATTTCTAGTAAGTCCATCCTTAAATATCCCTCCGCAACTAAGGCCAGTACAGGCTGCAATATAGCCTTCAGTCCTAAACCAAGTCTTCTGTAGGAGCCAGGTACCCTGGAGGTAAGTGATTCATCCTCAACTCTAGTCAAGCTAAAATCTGTACAGTGCAGTGGAGGTGCAGGCTGCGGCAGTATTAACACTGGTCTATGCTGGAGACCATGGGCACATGAGGTGGAGGATGGATGAGTCGATGAACAATGACCACACATTCAGCAGCAAGTGTAAAATCGTGTTGGGTCGTTTTACCTAGAAAAGGGAGCCGGGAGCAGAACAGGATGCTCTGCCTGTAGGTAGGCATGCTCTCTGACACTCATCGGAACAGCGGACGTTGCACACAGTGTATGGGGACCCTGAGCCCCTTCCTCTGCTTCCCCCTATTTTTGAGGATGCTGAATTGCAGTCACAAGGGCAGTATTGAGCTGAGCAGGGCCATGCAAAGAGAGAAAAAGAGAACGCAAAGCTGAATAGTATCAGTCCCCGAGAAAGCAAGCTTCAAATTGAAAAATCTGAAAAAATCAGACCACATAAAAAGGCGAAGAAGTGTGGTGGTAGGGGGGAGGCATGTGCAGAGGGGCCGACCCTGCGTGAGCCGTGCGCTGAGGGCTGTGCAGCTGTATCCTCCCTCCCATAGGCCATCACTGCTGGGCCCCAGCTCCTTCTCCTCCTCTTCCCCTCCTCCCCAGCACTAGAAGGAATAACTGATGAGGCTGAGGATTCTACCTACCCTCCCGAATAAGGAGCTATTTGAGGGATGAGGCTTTTAGATTTGCTACCAAAATCAATGATCATTTTTGTGAATTAATTGCATTATTTATGCTGTGAATGACATAATAAGTAAGATATGTTCATGTTCTCACTCATAAGTGGGAGCTGATCAATGAGAACACATGGACACAGGGAGGGGAACATCACACACCGGGGTCTGTCGGGGGTGGGGTCTGGGGGGGAGAGCATTAGGAGAAATACCTAATGCAGATGACAGGTTGATGCAGCAGCAAACAACCACGGCACATGTATACCTGTGTAACAAACCTGCACGTTCAGCACATGTATCCCAGAACTTAAAGTATAATTAAAAAAAAAAAAAAAGAAAAGAAAAAAAAAGAAATTACAATCTCCCTAAAAAGTAAAAAATTAACATATTGGAAATGATTGCCAAATGATAACAGCACATTTAAAATTTTTCCATTAGACGAGGTCTTTAATATTTTTCAGGTTTACAGGGTGTTTAACAAAGTTGTGCATGCAAAAGGGAAACTGGGCTGGACGAGGTGGCTCATGCCTGTAATCCCAGCACTTTGGGAGGTCAAGGTGGGAGGATCACTTGAGTCTAGGAGTTCGAGACTAGTCTGAGCAATAGCAAGACCCCATCTCTATTTATTTTAAGTAAATATAAAATAAATTTTTTAAAAGGGAAACTGTTACTTTTGAGAGTGACAGATTATGACATCCAGAGGCTTACGAGAAAGTAACTTCCCCTCTGTGTGAACCAGCATTGGGTGTTTAAATAGCTTACCCCATGGACTCGTACCCCAGTCCCTGAACGAGGTGAACTTCTTAATCTTTCTGAACCTCTGAGTTTTCCAGAGTTATTGAAACGGGATATGGGAGGGCACATATGCGGTGCCTGGTGCACAGACAGAGCTGGTGGTGCCCATTCAGTGCTGACTTACTTCCCTTCTCCTCTCAATGCTAGGAATGTGTTTAATCTTTCAAATTAAAGTGTTATGAAAAATTAGACCTCAGGTCCGCTGTGGCAATAGGGATATTCATGGTCCTCAAACCCCCTTGTACTGTGGGAGCTACAGAAGACGATGAATAGTGTTAAATTAGTGAGGACAGTTAAAGGAAAGAAACGACTGTCCCGAAACCAGAGGCGGGACATGAAGGGAAGGGAAGGAGGTAAGATTCCCAAGACATTCCTGCTATTCCCAGCAGGAGGATGTGCACTTCCCCAGACCCTGGCACAGGATGAGAAAGGGCTGTGCCAGGGACACTAACTATATTGCAGAGGCTGCTGAGTGAGACTGAAAATAAAGATGAAGAGGTGGAGTTGAGGCTGGGCTTGTGTGCTCTCAAGCCCTTGTGCCAGCTAACGTCTCGATTGTACTTGTCAGACTCCTGTCTAAGAAAAAGCATGCCATTGAACCAGGATGGCAAATGCAAACAAACAAGGAGAAAGCGGCTCTCAAATAAGGAGAAAGGGGCTCTTTCTCTTTTTGTGACGGAAGAGTCCCTGTTACTATCAGTTCAGGAAAACCTTGCTGTCATTACGCCTCGTCCCCAGGACTCTCTTGAGTGTAATCCCAATGATGGCCTCTGCAGCTGAACAGGGCCTGGACCAGGCTATCCCGGTTGTGGGATGGAAGGCTGCATTCTGGGTTGAAGAAAGACACCCTTTGGACTAATAACCAATAAAATCTATGATCCATAAAATTCTGTTTGCCCATCTCATAAGCTGCTTTCTAGGAATTCCACACACTGCTGTGAATTTGATTTTAGATCTTGTGTGGTGGAATAGGTAACAATGCGTTCCGTCAAGCTTCAGCAGAGATTTCAGCAGCAAATGTCAGGGATAGGAGATAGATAATATAGATATATGAATCATAAGGATTATATATCCTCTAGGGAACAATATATATCTAAGGGTGTATCACAGCTCGCGGGTTCACAGACTAGCCTGCCAGCAGCCGTGGCCTGAGTGCTGCTGTTAAAATACCATGTGGTGGCTGCCAAGGCAGAGGGACATGACGGGTCTCAGAGGAAACTACAGGAATTCAGTGTGAACACGATACAATCAGCAGGTAACTCCTTGAGCGATGGGTTCTTATATTTTTGGTAATTGAAACACCTAAAGGTATCCTTGCTCTTAAGGCCTGAGTCTCAGAAAGATGACTTCGTGTGAGGGTGAGTGAGGGGTTGAAGCTGCCTGCAGAGAGGCAGGTAGCAAGTTCCAAGAGGGGTCCTGGTGAGGGTTTCTGCCCAGGATGGCAGTGGTGAGGATACAGACGGTGCGTGCCTGCAACGAAGCAACATTGTATGGGTGGGATCACAGCACTGTGTGGGTGTTGAATTATTTAACTTGGTGTTGAACTAGAGTGAATGAGGAGTAGAACATGAGTAGAAAGAACCTCAGTACTTGGCGTCACCGTGACTGAAGGGAAGTCAGCCAGAATTAAGGTGAAGGAGCTGCTTTGAGTCTGGGAGGATGGCTGCCAGGCGAAATTTGGGATGCCTCAGTTCACAATGTCAAAAAGGGGGTTAGAGGTCAGTGAGGAACTGGCAGATGTAGAAACAGCCTGGAGGGATTCCATTTGAATGCGACGGCGACATTTGTGGGAATGATTGTGTCCATCCAGGGAAGCAAGGCTGTGCCATGGGGGGCACCTGTACTTGGAAGATGAAAGAAGGTCAAGGAGCGCAGAGGCCAGACACCTAGGAAAGCTCCATGTGGAAAGGCCTGAATAGAAGGGCATCAGATCCAGGGCATGAGGGGCAGGGCTGGGGACGATCCAGCTTTGCCGTTGAGAAACCGTGTGTGTGTGTGTGTGTGCGTGCGCGTGCAGGTGTGTGCACGTGTGTACGTAGGTGTGCACATGTACAGTGGACTAGAATTACAAGAAAATCTCTCCTCTGTAATCCCAGCCGCTTTCTCTCCTATGACCTTCCTCTCTCTCATCTCCCCTTCCCAGCATCTTCTTTTGTCTCAGTCGTTTAGGCGACTGCCCTTGCTGCTCCCATGTCACCAGCTGCTCTTTTTTTAAAGCAAAGTTCTGGAAAGAATAGTAGTTAAGAGCAGGAATTTGGCTTTCAGTCCTGGCTTTACCATTTGCTGCTGTGTAACTAAGGTAGACCAGCTATCCTCCCAAGTCACTCAGTGAATTAGGGGTGAAAACATGGACCTTGCTGAGATATTAAAGCAACATCAAGTTATTATTACAGTACCTGGCTCGTCGTGAGTGGCAAATAACTTGTCTTTCTTATAAATTGCCGCCTACGTTTACCCCTCTATCTTTCTTGCTTCCTTCATTCTCTCATTTCTTTCTTCACTATCCCTACAACTTCTCCCTTTTCTCCCAGGTTAGGCTCTGAAAAGAAACTCTGGAATCAGAAATCTCAGAAGGAGAAATGTCCTAATTCCTTTACTTCTTAATAATTAGGCTTGAACATGTGCTAGCTTGACTTTGCTCAGCCACAGCTCACTGTTTTGGCTGGCATGTTGAGCTCGTTGGAGATAAGATCACATTCTGTGAAGTTTATATCGTAAGTATTGTTGATAGAATCTGGGAGGAAGTACAATAATTGAGTGTTTCCAAGAATATTGGGAACTTTCTAACAAACCGTGTGTAGTTTTGAAACTAGAGAAGCAGGAGGGAAATTTTGAACTTATTCCTCCATTGAAACCCTGGAGTTTGAGTTGTTTTCCAGTAACAGTAGAGTTCTTCAGAATATCAACTGGGGCAGCGGGGCACACCTCTTGCAACATCTAAGCTGAGCAGATCTCCATTAGTTTTACAGTCTATGCATAAGGTACCACATCAAGAATAAAAATCCTTCATAAATTATCTGCTTGCAGGATTTATTAATAAATTATTAATTATTGTTTATTAATAATATTTTTCAATCCTATCATGGAGCATATCATCCCCAGCAGGAACTGGAAGGTGTGCAGTGCTGGAGCGAGTGTAGGAGGTGAGAAGCCAAGGGTGCAGTCGAAAGGAGCCACGAATCAGCAGGTGGCAACCCAGCTGCTTCCTAACAACAATGGTTTCAGAAATCAAATTGGCTGTTTTCTATCGCTGAGTGGTGACAGCTGCTTGGCAAAGAAATTGTGCAGGAAATTGGAATGTCACTCAAGCCATCAGATAAAACCTAGCCGTAGAGGGCAGTCTGATCTTTCCGTAGACAGTTCCAGGGACTACCTTTCTCATGCCAATCAAGAGCTTTCTCCCTGTGCTCAAAATTCCATGCTCTGGGGTCTCATTAACTACCATGGCCTATTCAGGGGCTGAAGTAACATATGACTTGGCTCTTCCACTCCAGAAACTCACAGGACCTAGCAACTGTGCTGCTTTTACCACCAGCGTGAGTGACAGGGCTGCCTGTGCGTGAGCGGTCTTGAAAGGAGAGATCAGCATGAATCGGGGAGCCAGATGCAAGCGTGAGCAGGTGATGGGGGGTGGTTCTATCAATACAGCCCCCAGCTGCTCACAAAGCCCTTCTGCTTGCTTTATGTCACCACCCACCTGCCTCCTACCACTACCTCCCAAAATGGGAAAGCCTAAAAAGGTGGACAATTCCCTGTCAATGTGGATGTAGACAGAAATCGAACATTCTGACGGTGATGGGAGCTGTGGCAGGCTTCACTCTACCTGGAACACAACTGTCATTCATGAGGTGTTCTTCTCACATACTTAATGTCTCTATCGTCCCCAAGTCTTGGCAGTTGAAGCAGGTATTTCTCCCCATTTCACAGATGCAGAAGTTCAGGGAGATTAAATGGCTCTAGTTGAGGCCACTGAGTAGGAAGGAGAGCAAAGACACAGAGACTGCTGCTGGGGCGCTTTGTTCTGATCCCTCCACATCCCAGCGTCTCCACAGAGGTAAGGAGAATCAAACAGGCTATCACCTGGGGAAGGAAGAGTGGATGCAAGACAGAGGAAAGCGATCAGTTCCTCTTCTCAGGTATTATTCATTCCGATTTTCTCAATTTGTCACAGGTGCCAGAAAATGCCGCAACATGAAAAGTGACAACCAGAGCTGCTCAGGGGACCCCCCTAAAGCCTTTATCCTTCTGGGTGTGTCTGACAGGCCATGGCTGGAACTCCCTCTCTTTGTGGTCCTCCTGCTGTCCTACGTGCTGGCCATGTTGGGGAACGTCGCCATCATCCTGGCATCCCAGCTGGATCCTCAACTCCACAGCCCCATGTACACCTTCCTCAGCCACCTGTCCTTCCTGGACCTCTGCTACACCACCACTACGGTCCCTCAGATGCTGGTCAACATGGGCAGTTCCCAGAAGACCATCAGCTACGGAGGCTGCACTGTGCAGTATGCAGTCTTCCACTGGCTGGGATGCACGGAGTGCATCCTCCTGGCCGCCATGGCCCTGGACCGCTACGTGGCCATCTGCGAGCCCCTGCACTACGCTGTTCTCATGCACCGTGCTCTCTGTCAGCAGCTCGTGGCTCTGGCCTGGCTCAGTGGCTTCGGCAACTCCTTCGTGCAGGTGGTCCTGACTGTGCAATTGCCGTTCTGTGGGCGGCAGGTGCTAAACAACTTTTTCTGCGAGGTGCCGGCCATGATCAAGCTGTCGTGTGCCGACACAGCTGTGAATGATGCCACGCTGGCTGTGCTGGTGGCCTTCTTCGTGTTGGTGCCCCTGGCTCTCATCCTTCTCTCCTATGGCTTTATTGCCCGCGCAGTGCTCAGGATCCAATCCTCCAAGGGACGACACAAGGCCTTTGGGACGTGTTCCTCCCACCTGATGGTCGTCTCCCTCTTCTACCTACCTGCCATTTACATGTATCTTCAGCCCCCTTCCAGCTACTCCCAAGAGCAGGGCAAATTTATTTCTCTCTTCTATTCCATAATCACCCCCACTCTCAATCCCTTCATCTACACCCTGAGAAATAAAGATGTGAAGGGGGCTCTGAGGAGACTCCTGGCCAGGATCTGGAGGCTCTGTGGACGATGAGGACGTGAGATGTAGCATCTCCATCAATTAAAGAGCACTGCACAAGTCTATTGTGCACTCAGAGCATCTTTCACTTAAGGAGTTAATACCCAGAGAGCTCAAAAACTCTGTCTTCAAACATCTCACTTCCTGTCATAATACCCCAAATCCCATAGCGACAAAGTTCATTTTAAAAGTGTAATTCTAAGAGGCCATATGTTTTTAAGCATTGTTTAAATAGACCTCAATAAGTATGTGTGGAATTATTTAACTTCCAATTTCCTGATTCTTTTCTCTTTTCCTCTTCCTGTATTTCTTTTATTCTCTCCCCATTTGTGTCTTTTCTATTACTCCTAAGTATACACAAGATGAAGCTGAAATACAATCTTATTTTACTTATAATGAATATGTGTTTTTCTCCATATACTTAAATCTCCACAAATTTTACATGACTTTTTCAAACAATTCCAGGAATTAAGTAGATTGCTATCTCTTTCCTGTGATTTTGGATTTTTTTTTTTCTCTGTAGTTTACATTTTCTTCTATAGAAAGTTTTTCCATGAAACGTAAACTAGTACAAAAACTAGTAGAACCACTATGGAAAACAGTGTGAAGATTCCTTAAAGAACTAAAAGTAGATCTACCATCTGATCCAGCAATGCCACTACTGGGCACCTACCCAGAGGAAAATAAGTCATTATACGAAAAAGTTACTTGCTCATGCGTGTTTATAGCAGCACAATTTGCAATTGGAAAAATACGGAACCAGCCCAAATGCCCATCAGTCAACTAGTGAATAAAGAAAATGTGAGATAGGCCGGGCGCAGTGGCTCATGCCTATAATCCCAGCACTTTGGGAGGCCAAGGCGGGTGAATCACGAGGTCAGGAGTTCAAGACCAGCCTGACCAAGATGGTGAAACCCCGTCTGTACTAAAAATACAAAAATTAGTTGGGCATGGTGGCACACGCCTGTAATCCCAGCTACTCAGGAGGCTGAGGCAGAGAACTGCTTGAACCCAGAAGGCGGAGGTTGCAGTGAGCTGAGGTCGTGCCACTGCACTCCCAACTGGGCGACAGAGTGAGACTCCATCTCAAAAAAAAAAAAGAAAAAGAAAAAGAAAATGCGAGATATATACCATGGAAAAACACTATTCAGTCATAAAAAGGAATGAAATAATGGCATTTTCAGCAACCTGGCCAGTTTTAAAGTCCTAATGCCCAAAAGTTATCTTTCTCTCTTTCAAGCTCAGCTATTTGTTTCTGATTACATTATTTATACAGGGTATCAAAGTGTTTGTAGCAGGAAGGCAGTTGGTAATAGTTCACCAACATGCAGAAACCCAATCTCCAGTTGGTGCTGCTCAGAAATGCTAACAAGACAGTTTGCAATAGAATGTACATCTCATACTGTTTCCCTTATAGAAACAGTCTTAAGGGTTTTTTTTAAATGTCAGCTCATCTAAAAGGCATGTTTAATAATGTGATTGTTTTACATTCTTATACGAACTCCTATGTTGACAGTTTATAGCAAAGTGTGGCTACTTTGATGGCTAATTGTATAGAGGAAGTAGTATTTCCATCCTGAGCAATTCCATGCGGTTTAAGAGTTGTCCATGTGTTGAGAAGCAATTAGTAAGTATTTCCTTAAAACTTAATGCTCTGTGAAGTATGATAGATGAACTATTTCTCGGATGGGATAAATCCAAAATAAGCTGTTATCAACTGAAAGCAAGATGCATCTTCTGCATAATACTTCTAGTTAGGAGTGCAGGCTCTGATACTCTCAAATCTTTCACTCCATGATTTTCAATTCTATCCTAGCAAAGATGAAATTCCACTCATTACAGTTAGAGTGAGGTAGTTTTTTAAAAATTATCTACAATAGAACCATTTGCCAAAGTGACTTTTAAAATGCACCAAGCAATTTAATTTACCTTTAGAGCTTTAGAGAAATAATTTTAAAAATTTCTAGGTACTCTTTTTTAAAATTAAGAAAAGGAAACAATTTAATTAAATAAATACAAAAAAAGTTTTACATATTCCTGAATTTTCAACTAGCTACACAAAGCATGGATTATTCTTATTAGAAAACAACAGTATTACAAAAATTTTAAATAAATAAATAGCTGCCATAAAATTTCAACATAATATATAGTCAACTAGTTCTGTGTTATGGTCAGTTAACAGAAAGATAGCAGGAATGATGATATGAGCAAAAGTAAACAGAACAAAGAAGAAAAAAAAGATAGGAAAAAGAAAGTTAGACAGTGAGACGAGAAAAATAAAGACAAAGAAAGTGCTTTATTGAACGAGCTAATTACATGAGGTCACCAAGAGGAACATCCTCTAACTGAGGCGCTGTGATGAGAACAACATCCGCTGCTGTCATTGCCCTGGTGTCTCCCTCACCCGGGCGCAAAGGAGACGCCCCAGCTCTCCACACGAAGGCCCGGTGGGCGCGCTCTCCTCTCCCACACTGCCCCGGAGGGATCACCGAGCTGCGCTCTTGGCCTGCATGGGTCGCAGCTCGCTCCACCTGAGGACCCCCGGCTGGAGGGCCCGGAGACCGCCGGCGTCTGGCAGCGCTGCTCCACCCCTACCACGAAGGCTCAAAGATGATGGTCAGCCCCGGCTTTTCTTCCTGAAGTGTTTCTAACGCACTTTTTGTCTCATAATTGAAATACATTTCAGACAACCTGTAAAAGCAAATAGAAAGCCTGGGTTGCACACTTCAGATAACTCTCTCAGCGTCGTTAACCTTAAAAGTGTCTTCTCTCCATTTCCCTAAACTCCACACACTTCTAAAATGTTTAAAAAAAAATAAAAAAAAAAAAGGGACCACAACTCCCAGCGTGCTCCGCGTGCTCGCCGCTGTCGCCGCCGCCGAGACCAAGATGGCCGCGAGACTCCGCGGCTTCCTCAAGAATGCCTGGGCCGAGGAGCCAGCGCTCGTCGTGTCCTTCGTCGTCGGGAGCCTCGCTGTAATTCTGCCCCCGTTCAGCCCCTGCACCAAGTACTCCATCACCATCAACGAGGCCACGCCCACAACTACCCAGTGCCCGTCCGCGATGATGGGAACAGCCTGGCGTGCCCAGCCACCCCCAGACCCCCAGGGCCTCAGCCTGGAGTGGCTGAAGAAACTGTGAGCACCCCCAATGACAGAGGAGGCCCCTCCCACAGCTCCCAATAAAAATGTGGGGAAAAAAAAAAAGCTCTAAGTGCCCGATGTGGTCCTGTTATATTTTTAACTATCTAGTTGGGAACTTTTTAAGCATACATAAAAGTATAGAAAATAGTATAATGAACCCCATCTCCATTACCCAAGTTCGACTATTAAACAGGTCATGTCAACTTGTTTCTTCTATTGCCCACCCACTCCTCCCACCCATGGATTATTTTAAATATTGCATTTAATGCATCTGTCAATAATTCACTTTGTGACACTAAAATATAATTACAATATCACTATCACACCAAAACTGTTTAACAATAATTTCTTAGTATCACTGTATGTCCAGTCAGCATTTACACTTCCTTAACTGTCTTGTAAATTTTTTTACCTTATGTTCATTTAGTCATGAACCCAACAAATTCTACACATTGCATTTGCCCAGGATGCCTCTCACATTTTCTTCGATGTAAGTTCTTCCTCCTCTTTAATAAAGTTTCCCTTGCAACTTAACTAGTAAATCCGCCCATTTGTCCTGCACCATTTCTAACCATCTCAATGTGGTGGTGTTATATACTGAATGCTTGTCTTCCTTAAAATTTCCCATGATGAAGCCCAAACCCCTAATGTGATGGTACTTAAAGGTGAGGCCCTTGGGAGGTAGGTAGAGTTAGATGAAGTTGTGAGGGTGGGGCCCTCAGGAAGGGGTGAGTGCCCTTACAGGAGAGATACCAGAGAGTTTGTTCTTTCTCCCCTGTCTTCTCTCCCTTGCCTCCCCTCACTCCATGCAATCACATAGCAAGAAGGTAGCCATCTGCAAGTCAGGAAGAGTACTCTCACCAGCAACCAAATTCATCAGAGACTTGATTTTGGACTTTCCAGCCTCCAGTATTGTGACAAAATAAATCTCCGTGTTTGAGTCACACAGTCTAGAACAGCTTGTTATCGCAGCCTGAGAAAACAGGTTGATTGCATTCATGGATTCTTCAATCTATTTTGAGGCTGTCCCTCAGCCTGGGTCCTGAATGTCCCTCAGGGCTAGGTCAGTGACTCTACATGTAGCAGTGTCCCCAGCTTTGACCTGACCAATCCTTCTTTTCTTTCCCCATCTCTCTTAGCTCTGGGAATGTTGGCTTGTCCTGCAGCAAACGTGCTCCATTACGCCAGCACAAGGATGCAAGGCTGATTCAAACTTGTATTTATTCAAACCTGCATTCCAACAGGTTCTCAGCCTTGAGATCATTAATATGGACAGAAGTCCCTGCACTAAAGGAATTTATATTTTGGGAGCAAAGATAGATAATAAACAAACAAGAAAACGACATAGTACATAAGATGTGCTTCACTGCAGAGGAGAATGAGAAGAAGAAAGCGCTTGCTTCTATTTTCAGTAGAAGAGTCAAAGACAGCCTCGCAGAGAGGAAGACCTTTAAGAGAGAATTTAGGAATGTACAGAGAATAATGCATGTGGATACTGAAGGGGAGACAGTTCTAGGCAGGAAGAAAAGCAAGTGCAAAAATCCAGAGATGACAGTGTTCTTGCAAAACAGCAAGGAGACCACTGTACTGGGGTAGAATAAGCAAGGGTTGGGAGAAGCGGAATCTTCGGAAGCAGGAGAGGCTGGATTATGTGGGGCATGGAATACACCATGAGTTTGTTGCTCTGATTATGAAAGTGATAAGTCACCAGACGATGTTGGCAAGAGTGGTATGATCTGAGTTACATTTTAGCTGAATCCCTTGTCTGCTAAAATCAGAATAACAGATGCAGGGTGGCCTGTCAGAATGCCACCATGACAATCCAGACACCAGGTGATGGTGGCTTGAGCCAGGGAAGAAGCCACGAAGCTGGCCAGAAGTGGTCAGGGAGTGGCCAAGCTGGGAAGGCAGAGCTCACAGGATATGCTGACACATTGGACGTGGTTATAAGAAAAAAGAGACAGTGACGACAGAACCAGAAATGTTTTGGCCTGAACAACTTGGAAGAAGTGACCATTGACTGAGATGGGGAAGAATCAGGTTTCAGGTAGAAAAGAATAGCATGGGTGTGGATCTGGATGTGACGTTTGAGAGGTTTATTAAACCTCCAAGAAGAAAGATCAGACAAGCACGCAGACACAGAATTTACAGACATGTAATCTGGAGGCCACAGCACATATATCATGAATCCAGAAGACCAGGTAATTTAAATGAGGGAGAAAGTATAGGGAAGAAAAATTAGCCCAGCAACTGAGCTCTGAGGATTCAACATATAAGGGTCAGGATGATGAAGAAAAGACCAGAAAGGAGACTGAGTAGAAAGAGCTGATGAAATAGGAGAAAACCCAGGGGAACATGTTGGCCTTAAAGCCAAGCAGTGAAAACGTCTTCAGGGAAAAGTGCGATCATCACAGCTGGCAGAACCGTGGGACTCGCCAGGAAGCTCTTACTAGAGAGGAGACAACTA